AGGTTATTTTCGGTTGCAGCAGAAACGGCAAACAACGCATATGGTATTTTATTTGGTTTATAGATTCTATATTTACTTTATTCTGCATTTTATACACATATATTGTCACAATTAAGAGTGTCAAGAGTCGGACTTTACATCCAATAGCTCCAATGATCAGCCTAAAACTCTTGTTTATGGGTCATGTTTGCTGCGATAAAGGGTTTTTGGTTTCTGATGCACGTGATTGGACATTTTCAACCTGTACATTGAAGTAGGCCATGTTTTTCCTATCTGTGCTTCGGTGGTTTGGTTTTCATTTGGGAAAGAAGTTTGCATTACTGGTGATTATTATTATCTGGAACTACTAATGGATGGCTAGTAATCTCTTTAAGCATTTTGCCACTTGGAAAAACTGTTTGGCAAGCATTTAACAATCTTTTTGGGAGTTTCTTTTAATTTGGAAACTATTTTAATTTTATTATTATTTAGGTCAAAGCTATTAAGAAGATTTCTAATCAATTCTACTATTCTCAGAATTCTCAGAATCACTGGGGAAAATGGGTGATTGCCTGCTCGAGAAAACAGCATTAAACGATGATGAAGAAAGTGGTAAGTTTAAATTTATCAAGCATATACCATGCATGAATTGATACTATACAGCACTTAGGTTGGTAATCAAGGATGTGTTTTTGTGTCTTATTTATTTATTTATTTTTTTCGTTCAGGAAGACAATCCTCACCATTTGCATAGTAACTGGTCTTTTGAACTCAGCCATATTAGATATGCTGGGATTGCAAATTATTAGTTTTTTCCCATTCTTTTCCCTAAATTTTTGAATATTTAGGTTGCAAGGCATTCTCTTTGTTCTACTGTTTGTGTGTGACTACTATATCAGTTAACTATAATATTTATTGACATCATCTCTTGGCCCAATCAGTCAACGGGCTTTATAGAGGCTTGATTAAGAGGATAGTCCTTTCCCTAAAAGGCATTCAACTATCTTCACATCTATCAAACCAAGACAATACTTTTTAGCATCGGACTCTTTTCGCCTCCTTGGCGCTTGCGGATGACCGCCTGCACAATTAGGTCTTGACGTTCTTGAATTTTATGTTTCATGTCCTCCTCCATAAATAAAATTTGGTTTCATATGTTCATCATTCTATTCTGTATGATTTCGGAGTATGAGAGCAAGGGATTGAGCTATCTTATGGTAGATGACGCAAAGCTTGTATCTTAGCTGATCTACTCCTACTCTATGCCTCTTAGCTGAGATACATATAACCTTGCTTGTTATATTCAAAAAATCACTTCAAAATATATTTTAGATATAGTCAACGGAATTGCTTGTCCCACCCGAGAGCGCTTATGTTATAGGGAAATTCATAGCTGGAACAACCCTTATAGTTTGTCTTGATATCTGGTGGGAATAATAAAATTCAAAATCCAAGCTGGTTGGTGAGCCTAGTAAAAGGAGACCATCTAGCTTGGTTCGTAACTGCACCCAACTTACACCATGGTAGAGGAGGTGGTGCGAAGTTCTAGGAGTGTGAGCTGTATGAACTGAAAGACTCCCATACTGTTTGGAGGGCAAGGGCATAGATGCCAAACAAACTTGACCTTATCTATCATCGTAGAAGCTACTCTTAGGAAATATTATGGTTTTTGAGCATCCAACAATCAATCCCCCAAACTGGGGAAGTATAAGCAAAAATGAAGGAGTCCTCACTCGCTGGAGTGAAATAGAAGTAATATGAAAAATAGAGGACAATCAAGTTTATCTTTGAGACGTGGAAAGCTGGATAGGAATAAGACAGGAGAGATAAAAGAAGGATGGTGTACAACCAAAGGCTTACCTTTTCTCGATGAGTAGGAAAGTAGAATCATTTTCGATGTCATGGAGTTAGACCAGTGAGCTATTATGCTTTCTTTAAAGGATGGCTACTTTCAAGCCTACATCTTGGCTGTCATCACTTGATCACTTTTTGAGGAGATCATGTTTTCGTTAATCAAAAAAGTGCGTCAGATCAGATAGATGCCTTAATTGTACAATGGCTAATCTAAGAGAATTCAAATCATTGGTCCGGGGTAAAGGAATAAGATCTTAATAAAGCAAAGCAAAAAATGAAGAAAAGCTAAAGTAATCTAGTCTGAGACTATAAGGAAATTTAGGTTAAAAAGAATTCTACTCAACCAAAGTCAATGTTGTAAGCCATAACACTTCTCTTCAATCTAAGTATTAGACGGAAGGTCGAGTTGAAAGCTAAAGCTAGTGCTTACCTCGGATCAAGTTAGCACCACTTGTAGGTTCACGTTAACGAGAAAGCTAAGTTCTGAAGAGAAGTTGATGATAAGGCTTCACTCCTAATCGGTTTGGCCCTGCCGCACATCTTTCGTAGTTAACATGCGAGATGTCAATTCTTCCTCTGCGACTCTATACTGTTGTGTAGTATAAGGGAAGGCAAATTGTCTGAGTCTCCCTTTTCAAGTATGCACCAACTTGTGGAATGCATATCTCCCTCCTGAGTTTATCCTCAAACATAGTTTTTTTCTTTTACTTTCTAAATAAAATTCTTCAATAAGCTTCTCAGCTGTGTCATAGTAGTGCCAAAAAGGCTTCTGGTAAGCTTCTTGTCTCATTCCATGGTGGGTCTATAATTGGGGTGAAGTTAGGAATGTCAACGAGTTGAAACTCGAGGCTCGGCTCGGCTCGTCTCGTGAAAAAATGACTCGGGTTTTTTTTAGCTAGTGGCGAGCCAAAGCTCGACTGAAGAATTAAAGCTTGGCCAGAGCTTTCTTGAGCCGAGCCGACTTTTTTTTAAAATTCGTGACATTCTAAATTTTTTTTTTATACAATTTAAAAATGTGCAATTTATACAAATTGTAGATTAAATACAAGTTACAATCATCCTCCTTTTTTGGGCTTGAGGTTGGCTACAATCAATATAGGAGAAATTAAATTGTACATAAATAAAATATTTTATGCACAATTTTTTGAAAAAATAAATTATAAAATTACATAATTTTTCGAAAATAATCAATTTAAAAACTTACAATATTCTATTCTTGGATCTGGTGCAATTCTTTGACCATTATACTGTCAACTTGTTCTTGAAGACGTAATTCCGCACATTCCCAGTTCTTCAAGCATGTTAAAACCTCTAGCATATTTTCTTTTAGTCTTGATCGTTCGTCTGATAAAATTCAACTACCTAAATTAAATACAGCTTCCGATACTACCGTAGACATAAGAGGTGTTAGTAGATTATGTGCAATCTTTGATACAATTGGATATTACATTTCGTTACACCTCGACAATAATAGAAGACTAAATTTCTGTAATTCTATTAGTTGTAATCTATTACGAACGTCCATGCACATGTACCTAACTAACTCAGAGTGAATTTCTAGATTTGTATCGACGTGTATCGCTCTAGATATGGATTAACTAGAACTAAATTATGGAACCCTTGTATTAGTGTTCAAGTAATTCCAAAAATCATCTGAACTTGTTGAAGTTTCTTGAAGTACTTTGGAAAGTAGAACTACCTTGACCTCCTTTTTTAACGTAATATTTATACATTTCACATAATATATATTCTATATGTGCATGTGATAATTTCACATTCATGAAATTTGAAATCTCCTTTATAGTAGCTTTTGTACCAATTAAATTAAGTCGAAAGTCCATCACTGAAGCTAAAAGAAATAAAGAGTACTCGAACTACCTTTAAATTGGTTAATCTCATAACTAGTAAAATTTGTTTGTGACTACTTGTGGTTATTATAGCAAAATATACTGAATATTAGAGTAAAAGAAACTGAATATTATAGAAAAGATGTTGGAGAATGAACTTGAAAAATATAATATTGCAATTACAATATTGTTGAAGTAAGTTGATATGAAACAAAAAATTTTAAGTCGTATTTATAGCAAAAAAATATGTCCGTTTCTACAAAATTTGAATTTGATGTTACAGTTGCCTTTTTTTTAAAAGGCAGAAGGCAGCTGCCTTCTATTTTTGTATTAAAGGCAGCTACAACATGCAACTACTAGCTGTTTGTTGCATGCAACAGGGAGGCATCTACGGCTGCATCACTTTTTTTAACAGACAGCTACTGCTGCCCCTTTTTAAAGCAGCTGCCATTTTCTTTTCTTTTTTCTTTTTTTTCCTTTTTTTTTTTTTAACTTTTTTATCAAATAACACGGGCCATTTGTGTTTGGGCCAGCTCGTCACGGGCCAGCCCGAGCCTCAACTCACTTTCTCTGAGCCAGCTCGGACTTTTCTCGAGCCTAGCCATGGGCCGCTTTAGCCAGCAAGCCAAATTGGAAACCCTAGGTGAAAAGTCTAGCATAATTGGCGTTGCAGTATTACTTCAAGTCATTTTTGCTGATACTAGTTGTCTTTCATTTATGCTTTCATGAAACATAATTTTGTATAACCTTATATGATGTGCCTTTGAAGATCTCTCAATCTTTATCAGTGTCTAATATTTTAACTTAATTAGAATGCAGTCATAGCTCTTTTTTTCTCCCCAAAATCCAACTGATTGCTGTTTTGTGCAGGAAAAGTTCTGTTGATGCTAGGAAAAGTGCAGCTTGAACTTCAGAAAATTGTTGATGGTTATGTGCGTATCATGTTGGTGTATGAATTACTTCAGATTTCTTTCTGTTTCTTACAATGTGTACCTCTAGTTATTAAAATACTGTGTACTGCATTTCAGCGGTCTAATGTATTTAAGACAATCACGATCCCATCAGAGTCTATTCTTAATGAGTTACGCATAGTTGAGGTTAGTGCCATGGATTATTCAATTATTTTCAATAAAAGCTTGTATACCTGCCTCCCAACCCCCCTAGAAAGGATGATGGGTCTAACATTGGAAGCATGTGATCCTTTGATGGAATTATTTTGATTGTTTTGCATCTTCTTCCTTTTTTTTTTTTTAATTTAATAATTTGTTGTGTGGATTCTAGCCTGAGATTAGATGACTCAAAGTATTTTTTCCCCGTTCATTGTTTCTTTCATTCTTTCACAAGTACCTGGCTTTACAATATCAGCTGGACTTATTAATGTAATTGCAAACCATGTATACAATTCTGTTTATTTGGCTTTACAGCATGTTTGGCTGTGCTTAAAGTATGTTTTACTTTTAATTATTTTACAAAACACGAATTTTAAAGTTTTTAACACAGTTTCTAGAAAAGTTTAACTTTTGAACAGCCTAAATTGTGCTCAGTAATATTTGTTTCTCTTAGTAGATTGCAATATGTGCATTGAATATGTAACCCTTCTAGAGATGTTTAGCATATTATTTTTTCTTTGCATGCAAATGTCTATTGCTGTTGATGTTCTACACTAATTTGGGCTTTTTACTCCATTCCCAACCCCCTCAAATATACAGGAGATGAAGAGGCGATGTGATCATAAAAGGTCCAAATTTATATATTCCCTTTGTATATTACTTCTTCCTTTTCTCTTGAGCATTTTTTTACTTTGAATTTGCCTTCCAGAGAAATGTACAATGACCTGATGTTATATAGAGAGAAGGGGAAGTTGAAAGGTAGTAGAGGAGAGCGTTTTTCTTCACACCAGTTTCAAGTAGCTCAGGATGAATACGAGGAGGAGGCAAATGCATTTGTATTCCGAATGAAATCACTAAAGCAAGGAGAATCCCATAGTCTTCTAACTCAGGCAGCTCGACATCATGCTGCACAGGTTTATTTATTATTATTATTTTTTTCACAGGAGAGTTATACCTTGTATATTTGATACATGTGTAGCATTAATACTATGTTTATTATTTATAATAGTTGTCCTTCTTCAAGAAGGCTCTCAAATCTCTAGAGGGAATTGAGCCACATGTCAAAATGGTCGCCGCACAGCAACATATTGATTACCAGTTTAGTGGACTTGAAGATGACCAGGATAATATTGATGATAATGTCAACGACGAGGATGATAGTACCGAAGATGATTCTGTAAGTAATGACGATGGAGAATTGAGTTTTGACTATAGACTAAATAGTGCAGTTCCAGAAGTTTCTACAACAAAAAACTCAATGGAGGTAAGACTTCCACGTGTCTTGGTATTGATGTAGGACGAATGGACAGTTATGTTAAACATTGATTCTTACTGGTAGTTTTGGGATTCCTTTAATTTTAATTATTCTAATTCTATTAGGAGAATGTTATTATTTTATTAGGAGAATTGTTTTCTTTACCTCTCAGATGTGCTTGATTCTTTAGGAGATGATTAGTTAGTTAGTTTATTCAGATTAGTAGATTCTCTCTCTTCTTCCATTGCCCACAAGAAGAGCTTAGGCATTTTTTCTGTGCAATCAATTCTATTATTGATTTGATTATTTCAATCATCTTGGGTTTTCTTTTGTTTCTACAAGAGTCAGATTTATTGCTGCATTCATAGAAGCAGACCCTCACATGAAATGACTTTAAATAATTTATTGGTCAAGATTATTATTTGTGTAAAAGTTTCTGGACTCCGATTGATTCTCCTTGTTGAATTTTGGATATCATTACATATATTTAATGCCCTACAAGTGGCGGAAGTCCTATTAATTGGGATGTGCAAATCCAGCTTGAGAGAGGCGTGGTGGACTTAGCTTTGGCTCAAGGAACTAAACTACTACTTAGTTTTGAGATGATTAATTAAGTTTTGTCCTCATCTGGCATGTTATATATCTTTATATCAGGGTATATAAATAATTTAACTTTGGTTTAAGAGTGCAGTTATTTATAAAATATATCTTTATTTGCAGTTGGATAATGTGGATACTACATCTCCCAGCACTAAATTAGGTGCATCTAAGGTGAAGATCCTATCCTGTGTTTTTTACTAATTCTACCTTCCCATGGCCCAATCTCCTCCTTTCTTTTATCAATATGTTACTTATTGTCCATCCAACTTGTCATACGTGCTATTTTGAAAGTATGACTTTCGAATTTTACACTTTTCTTTATTCTTTTTTTTTTTTTTTTTTTTTTTTTTTCCCCCTTTCCACTTGCTTGTTTTTTTAGGTTTTGTTTTTGGAAAGAACTGGTCGAAATTCTTTTGGCTTCCACAGAGAGACTAAGTTGACCAGCCAATCAGCACCGATATTTCGTGAGAAGAAACTTGATCCAGCTGGCATGCCGAGACAGATGCTGCCATCACCATCACGCAGGTTTACATCGTATGTGCTACCCACACCAGTTGAGGCAAAGAGTCTTGGTTCTGGGAAAGCAGATTTTGAAGATCCACAACATAAACAAGTGAACAATAACTTGTGGTATTCATCTCCTCTTGATCAGAAGAAATATGAAAAAGTAGTAGCAAATGAGAAATCCTCGGACTCTGTCCTCTTAGACGCACAACAGGTGCTCACAGAGAGCAACAATAATACAAAAAGCAGTCGGTTGCCCCCTCCATTATTGGATGGCTTCTCATCAAAACAGTTTGACCCAAATGTTGCATTCGATACTAGAAAAGTCAAAAGACAAGCTTTCTCTGGTCCAATAACAGGCAAACCGTGGCCGAAGAACCCAAATTTATCTGCCAGTGGTCACATCATTTCATCAGAGTACCCTCTGCCATTTTCTGGGTCTATATTGCGTGCTCCATTGCCTCAGCCAACGTCAATGCCCAAATTATCATCACGTGTTTTACCTACTTTCATGTCGTCGCCTATAATAAGTGAACTTCACGAGCTGCCTCTGCCCCCAGCTCATCTAGCTTCTAAAAGGCTTTCCAATCGCATTGCTCATTCAGGGCCTTTGGTATCCGAAGGTTGTGAGCTACCTACTACAAGCATAGCAAAATCTACACTTCCAATGCCATCTCAGACTATTTCCCGCAGTTATTCTATTCCCTCTGGAAGTCGAGAAGAATCGGTTCTACATTTACCTTTAGAAGCTTCTCAAAATTTGAAGATGACTGAAGGAATTACTTCACCTCCTATAACACCCATTTCATTGCCTGATGTACAACCAGCATCACCCCCTACATCATAGATGACGTATATGCCGGTCAAATGGGAGGTAATTGAGGAACTTGTCATCCAATGCACCTCTGCCAATCTTGTTATTTGATATGATTAGGTGAACGAGAGGTATTTCTACAGGCAAAATGGCTTTAAACTGCATTGCTTGCTTTATGGGGGTTTATGTGTAGGAAAAATGCATATTGTGCCTTGTGATTTGAGATACCTATAAATTAACTCATCTTGATTACAGAATATGCAACCCACCACTTGTGCTTTTGTAAACCCTAGATATTTCCCTTTCATCAACTTAGCCAAGTTCTGGAATTGTTCGCAGGATGCTTTATTCAAAGATATAGATTTTACATGAAAATATTAAGTCAACAAAAATTGGACGACTAAGAATTCTACAGGGTTGGTTTCTTGGAAAGGTGGCCTGAGTATTCTTGAACTGCAAGGTAATATGTTTAGTTTTTCAAAATCTCGAGAATGATTTGCAAATTTCCCTTGTTTACTTCATGTCTGGTTCTTCCCTTTTTCAATATGATTCTGAAGTTGCTTTTTTTGTCATGTCTGAGTATTCCTTGAATATGTAGTTTAACTCTAGCGGATTACACTTGGAATGCAGGGGGTGCACTGGCGGCATACTTTAGTGTTTGGAATTAATTTACATTGTACATTAATATCAAGCAGAGGACAACTGCAATTTCACCTAGTACGGGCACAAAATCTGTAAATATGATTTTGTACATATTTAGTCTTCTGTTGTCCCAGTTCGGATGGAATTTACCCTGTAAGACCTATGTATGTACATAAATTTTTTGTTCCCTCAAATAATGCTTTGTTTTGCATAGGAAATCATAAAATTTTGCATTATGTTATTTAATGCATAATTAAATTAAATAAAGGAATCTTCACAAGTTCTTTTAACTCCAACTTTCCTGAAAAATTCTAAATAATTAAAGAGTAATGCCGTTTATACCCGGGTGTTTACATGCCCAGTTACACGGCCCCATTGCCCCCCTCACATGGGGGATCCCCATGTGAGGAGGGAGGTGGGGCTGGGTAACCGGGCGTTTACACACCTGAGTATGAATAGCGTGGTCCATAATTGAAAGGCTTGCACATTTATTTTTCTTTGTTGAGTGCTTAAGTTTTAACTCCAAATTTAAAACTTGACAGGGAAAACGAATCTACAAGAAGATATTCCTTACAAATTGGGGTTCATAATCACCAAACTCAGCCGTAAATTCAACACTAACATTAAGTTGGCAGTGCTGTAAACACTGCGTTTGTAACTTGTACAGGATGAATATTTTAGTTTTTACTAGTTACACTGGTCACACGGTAGGCTCCACTTGATTAATTACTATAATATTTGGATCTGAATTTGAATTTTGCCACTCGCTCCTCAAGGATTCACTAATGCATCAAGATCCAAGATCGAGGACTCCTTGTCGAATGCCAAGCAGCCATGATGTAACCTATGTTGAGAAGACAATATAAACTAATAAAATCGTCCCCACTCTAACAACTTAATTAACCTTTACGATGAGTAATTTGTGTTTCAACAAAAACCGTCAAACACAGAAAGAGTCCTGGTTAGGTAGTGATCAAAATGTAGCACAGTAGCAGAGCATAAATCATGATAATGCCAAAAGAAAAAGGATGGGTAGTGAGAGAGGCTCAATTTCAAAAACATTGTCAAATTTGTTGTTTGGATCAGATTTGGATATGCCAGCAGTGCAGTCATTTCAAGAAATCATACAGGGCTAACATAATTCTGAAACACAAAACCATCTTCCTACCCATTAACATGATAAGATCGTCGCATAACATGGAGTCATATGATCATTGCAACTATTTGCGCACAACCTCACAGAGAGCACTTGGGAAAATCACACATCTTGTTTGAACAAGACCATTTGGCAATATGAAGTTATACATACAAGCAAAGCAAGAAATATGTGATTACAGAATTATTGATATTAAGTCGCCTATCCAACTGGAGCTTCACTAGCCTTCACAAATCGACCTTTAAATCTTTTCCTTGTATCAGCTCTTTCCTTCCTTGATTCATACCGTATATGCTTATCATATCTGGTTATAAAACATCATCATTACCAGATACAGCACACTGGAAATCCGTTAGGGGAAAAAAGGTAGTCATGAAGTATGCTGAAATGAAAATAAGAGTAAATAGGTACCTCCGGGTTTTCTTCTTTTCCTTGTACCGTTGCATAGCATTGCCTCTGTTCTTTGCCAGAAGCTCCTTATCAGCCTTGGTTATTGCAGCTGTGGTGCTTTCATTTTTCACCAACCCCGTATGATCCACAAAATTAATGTCTTTTGAGCCACCCGAACTGGGCTTAGAAAGACCTGAACATGATTTTGGCCTTGACACCGGTAAATTATTGCTCTCAGATGTTGCAGGTCCCTGGCTTGCTGTTGGATTATTTGAGGTACTCTATATTTCAACAAAGTTTGTCATATTATAGCTCCACGTGATATTATTGGACATGAATCCAAAACACATAAAAAAATGATTGTCCGCATGTCAACCCTTCACTATTTTTCTTTTGTTTATATTAATTTAAAGACATTGACAACCGATGTTTGACCAAAAAACCCGAAAAAAGGGTATGTTAAAGCATGTGATTCTTTGGATTGATCAGGAGATTGAAATCATATTGCTGCCGCTTAACTTCTTTCGTGCCTATTTCTGATTTATGCGAATTGTGCATTTGTAAAGATTAGATGATGGTAGACATCATTTATCACAAGAATTAAAGTAAAAATTGTTTATATTTTGATATTGGCCACATACCATAAATTTTAAGGTATCACGAGGACAAGACTTTAAGCTATGGACAAAGACCCACAAGGGACACCTGTACTCAGGTCAAGTAGCGCAGCTCGTTTGACAACTAAATTACATGACTACTAAAAATCTGCACATACTAGGTCCCACTTGTACCTCTATTAATCATCCTCTAAAATCAATCCTTCACCAAAAGAATAAACAACATCACTCAATCCTCTTGAATCAAGCTTTTACAAAGCAAAGAGTCAACTCTCCTACACTAATTTAACATAATGTTCAGTCTCTCTTAAAGATTCAAACTTTCAAGAATCAACCAGTCTTTACTTCAGTAACATCTTTCCTGGAGATTTTTCCATTTTACTCTTTTGTTACTGTTTCGCGCGGGTTAATTCGCTAACAATTAAAGAGGATCAGACGATTGTGTAAGGGACGAAACCTCTTGAGACAAAATCCCAAAAAGGGGTGTTCTTTTTATTGGCGATGAACTTTACAATTGGAAACGGAAAACAACGTGCCTCCAAGGGGCGCAAGCACACGAGTTACAGAAAAGGAAATGTTTAAGTCTAAAAGCTAAATGAATGAAAATTACATATTCTCTGTTCGAGAGTTTTGGATTCGGTCCTTGCTTCTAAGTTCTTTCTCCCTTTTATACTTCATAGGCGATCCCTTTGTGATTAACTGCTCTAAAAAACTGCTTGATCGCCCAATAACTACCCACTTTTTTTGTAATGGCCATTTTGTCATGCAACTGTCTTTTTAACTGCTGCCATTATCTTGCATCGTTCAACCGCTTTCGATTGAACCCCTTGAGTCGTGGAACGTGATGAAATTACTTTAGCAACTGCCTCAATAACTGCATCATAATGCGTTATGTTTGTTGATACCTTGGGCGACTTGAAGATTTGGGCGAGACTTTGGACGACCGTATGCCACTCTATTCGTTCAGACTCTGAGCGACTTGCAAACTTGGGCGATGGCATTACCGCACTATTGGGCCCCTTATTTGGGCATTCACCTTGATTCGTTCAATTGGATTTCGTTCTTTGGGCTATCTGATTTGGGGACCCTCCAATTGGACTTTATTCTCTGGGCTGTTCGATTTGGGCTGAATTTTTATGTGTCAACAATTACCCCCCAATATGGCAGAATTAATAATAATTATTGAATTTTGCCATATTCACTTCACGTCTTCAGCAACGTTCACGATCCCCAAAGAATTTCAATCATTGTCTCCTTCTATAACTTGAAAAGGTGCGTCGCTTTGCAAACCCTTATAAACTCCGAACACGCCATTTTACTGCTACGAAATCACGTTTCATATTTCTTACGCATCCTTCGCGATTCACTGTTCATATTTTGCTTCCTTGTTACGTAACTCTGAAAAGCTTCGTTCCTTCTTCAATGGCTGCTTTACAATCCCAAGCTAGCGATTCCTTTAGTTTTAACGACTTTCAGAAACTTCTGAGTCGTTCATACGTAACCCCAAGTTTTCTTACGCCCGCCGATGTTGGACGTAATGAGTTTTACTTGGGTCCTTTCTTCAACAATGCGGAAGCAATCGAACAGGCGGCGGTGGGCCAGCTGTTTCCTTGCACCCATGGCCCTCCTTTTCTGAATTCTTTGCCGCTGGGACCACTTCGTGAAAAAGGTATTCGCACTTGGCCCAAATCTGACGTAGCTTTTCGTAGGTGGCATGCTCGTCTTGTGGGTCATGGTCCTAATAAGGCACTTTTTGATAGCGCTAGAATTTCTGATTTGTTGGAAGTCTCTATTCGCCCCCCTACTTTTGATTCAGCGCTCTTTCCGATTGCTTTGAGCTTTTGGTCCTCTGAGTATAACACCTTTATTTTTCCTCTTGGCCCCATGTCTATTACGTTAAGGGATGTTGGGGCTCTGGTAAATTTACCACCTTTGGGTGATACCGTTTTCCCAGGCATCTTAGTTTCTGGTGACGCCCCTCAGTTCGGTAAAAACTATACCGATTCTTATTCAAGCCTGCACAATCATTCGAGTGCTGAACCTACTCATGCTGAGCGAGTGGCCTTCCTTTTACTCTGGCTTTGTAAATATGTGTTGTGCGTGCCTAGTATAAAGCCCTCTCTGAGTTATTTACCTATAGCGCATGAACTGGCGCGTGGCAGGCCTTTGAATTTATGTTCTTTGTTTTTGGCTGCCCTTTATAGAGGTATGGCTTTTCTTCAGGCTCAATTGAAGAATGGTGCATCTCCTAAACTGCGAATGGTGCATCTCCTACTGGCAGTGGACCTCTTTGGTTCACTCAGCTGTGGTTGAGATCCTATTTTCCATCGCTTGGTGCTCCATCCATTTCTTGTCCTTCTGCTAGTTGTTACGGGCTAGCTATGGAGCCTTTAACTCCCGTAAGTATGTCCAAAAGGGACATTTTTTTATTCTTTTATTCTTTAAATTCAATCTCTTCCTTCTTTCCTTTCCCTCCTTTTTTGACTCCGGACTATGTACATCCTCCTTCCACTGTAGATAGCGTGAGCACCTCTCTGCTCATTTGGATCCAGTTCTTAACTGCGAGGGAGCTTTTCCACGATATCTTAACCGGGACCAATGCCAAAGCTGGGGTAGAAATTTATGCTCCCCAATTTTTTGCTCGGTAGCTTAGTTTCGGCCAAACTTGGCCTGTTCCTCTTTGCTATTCGAAGAACTTAAACGACCGTTTTCATACCATTAATAAGGTGGAAGCAGAGGCTATAAACGCTCGCAACCTCCATTTATCAAGCCATTTTTCATTAGCCCCTTTTAATCCTTGTCATGCTACTCACCCTCTTTTCGAACAACTTTGGCCATCGGTGAAGC